TGGTAAATGTCTGTGAACAAGAGGTATTTTGATTTTGTTCAATTAAATGGGGATCCTTATAAAGTATATTTTCATCAATTTGAGATTCTTTTATATGCTGTAGCTGTGTATAGGTCTCTTGGAGCAAAGATTGTGCTTTTGCACACTCTTCATCGGACAAAATGACGTTCAATCGTCTATCTAGATATATGTTTTCTAAAACTAAATTATTATTCAAAAGATTTTTTTCTCTTGCCTTCATAGATTTAAGCAAATCTTGAGCAAAAGGTATAGAAAAAATCTCCATACGAGATTTGCACATCAACCATATAATAAAAAAATCGCCAATAGTGATTTGTTGTTTTTGTAAACTTAAAGTCGCTTCATTTATTGGTTTTAAACAACTAATAGTTAATGAAAGTTCATCCCAAAATTTTGTCGACAACAAATTAGCAATGTCGGAATTACTATCACATACCGATTTAAGAGCAAAGAGACGTTCCAACATTTTATAAGTAGATGTCCAACGCGTTGTGCAATCAATGATGGGTTTTTTTAAATTGGATACTCTGAGAATATTTTTTATGGTGGGTCTACGTAAAATACGTACCACTTTTCTTGCCAATTCTATTATACTTTGTGTTTCAATGTTTACATTTATAGCGTCTCTTACTGCTAATTGCAGTGTATGCGCTGCACAAAGCATTACGCGAGGCTTATATTTATATGGTGGTATGGTGCTATTATTAATATGGTCTAAAAAAGAATTAATATTCATATTTTCAAATTTATGTATTTATTGTGTGCGTTCATTTTCTTTCTCAATTTCCTCATCATCACTTGTATCATCTGCGTCTTCATTTTCTTTATTAGTTTCATCTTCATTCTCAGTATATAACTTACATCCTAATAGGGTAGTCATTTTTTTTAAATTCTTGCCGTTGTCCGTAGTTATGGAATATATTTGTGAAATGTCGATCATAAAATCATTCAAAATTTCGATAAGCTTCTCTTTTAAAAAATCACCAGGTTGCCTTTCAACCGTTTCAACAATAGCTAAATTTCTAACTTTTATTTCTCCGTCTTTAACATATTGCATATTAATTCCTAAAAAATTTCTATCTATATACGTAGCGGAGTCTAGTTTAAGACTAATCATTTTATGTCTAACTTCTTTGCTTATTTAATACTTTCTTAGATTTACGCGAATATTTGACATTTTAAATAAAACTATCTTTTCGGATTTTGTCGCGGATTTATTTGTATTTTTGTTTCCCGACGTTTCGAATGCTTTACAGCATCCATGGTCACGGGAGAGACTGAGGTGTTACATGTCTTAAAGATATAGTTGTTACAGACAGCCTACCCACAATTAACAAAATGAAAATTGCACCAATTACATTACAATATTTTAACTTTAAATATTTTTATAATTTTAATTATAATTGAATATGGAAAATTATTTATTTAATTTTTGCTATTATTTTTATAATTATTACAATTTTAAAAATATTAATTAGTAATCTATATTTAGTGTTGCCATTATTATATTTATAACCATAAGAAAAATATAAAATATAGTATTAATTATTTAAGCCACAATTGATCTATGTGTAATTTGAAAAAGTTAAGCTTAATTAAAAATAATAATTTAATTTAAATTTGCTATTATTTAAAAAACAAATTATTAAGCAACACATTACTACATACATTTACAAATGAAAAAGTGAAAAAATATTATTAATCAGAAATGCTATCACTTTGATCTACACAGTAAGAACTTACTACATCTACCTGTCTGTTATGTTTAGATTTATTATTAGATTTTATTATATTAATAACAGGATCCCATGACGATGGTAGTACCCAGCCATCTTCCCTATTGAAATTAGGATGTTTTTTAATTTCTATGGCTTCTCGAATCATTCTAGGGCGATATCGGTTCCGATATCGGTTCCTAAAACATCCTAATTTCAATAGGGAAGATGGCTGGGTACTACCATCGTCATGGGATCCTGTTATTAATATAATAAAATCTAATAATAAATCTAAACATAACAGACAGGTAGATGTAGTAAGTTCTTACTGTGTAGATCAAAGTGATAGCATTTCTGATTAATAATATTTTTTCACTTTTTCATTTGTAAATGTATGTAGTAATGTGTTGCTTAATAATTTGTTTTTTAAATAATAGCAAATTTAAATTAAATTATTATTTTTAATTAAGCTTAACTTTTTCAAATTACACATAGATCAATTGTGGCTTAAATAATTAATACTATATTTTATATTTTTCTTATGGTTATAAATATAATAATGGCAACACTAAATATAGATTACTAATTAATATTTTTAAAATTGTAATAATTATAAAAATAATAGCAAAAATTAAATAAATAATTTTCCATATTCAATTATAATTAAAATTATAAAAATATTTAAAGTTAAAATATTGTAATGTAATTGGTGCAATTTTCATTTTGTTAATTGTGGGTAGGCTGTCTGTAACAACTATATCTTTAAGACATGTAACACCTCAGTCTCTCCCGTGACCATGGATGCTGTAAAGCATTCGAAACGTCGGGAAACAAAAATACAAATAAATCCGCGACAAAATCCGAAAAGATAGTTTTATTTAAAATGTTCTTTGCTTATTTTTAATTTGACTTCGTATGCTTTATCTATTACAAGTTTTTTAATGGATCCAATAGATATTTCGTAAGCATTGGTGGCCATTTTAATAATGTCTTGGAAAGCTTGGTCTTGTAAAATAGCAAAAGGTCTTCCATGAATGGTCACTAATTTAACACAATTGTGTTTTAATTGTTTAATTCGCTCTAAAGACACCTTTGATTGTGGCTTGCTATTTTCTTTATTCATGGTCATAATACTCTTGTACTCATTATAATGTTTCAACGATAAATGATTTTTTAAATTAGTAGTATGTTTACCCTAAAACAAACAAAAAAAGATTAGACATAAAAATAAAGTATATAGTTACTCCAAGTACATAATTAGTCACAGTTAATTTCATCCAAATCCTTCGAACTGTTTCAGAGAGAAGTGACGAACACATCAACACACACGCACACACGTGTGTACACACAAACACATACATACACAATAACCATAAAAACACGCCCACATTGTATTTCTGAATAAGTATAGTGTAGGATCAAGGATGACACTTATAAAATTTCGAGATATTCCTTGCATATTTTATTATATTCAGTGCTTTTGTAGCATCAACTTTATTTTATTTTTTTATATAGGTACCTAATCGTCATTCGTCAGTAGTTTATCCGTGTGCTACTACCACCGACTCAAAAAGCGTGAGAAAAACTCAACTTTTACTCATTAAATATTGAATTACAGAATTTATAACTATAATTTACAAAATTACAAATAATTCATAAGTAGGAAAAAATATCAAAATTCGCGCTCTTTTTACTTTTAAAAATACATTCTTAATATAAATTAGTGAAATATATGTATTTCTTTCATTAAAACGCTCATATAAATAAGTGCAACGTTAGAAGTACTCGTAATCATAACTTTTGGAAGATAGTAAATGATTCATAAATAATTATTAAATTTTAAATATAATAATTATGTAACTTACCTTTAAATTATTCCCACATATCAAACATTTACTCTTGTTCTCGATGTTGTCATAATTAAAGTATCGATGAACAGCATCAGTTTTAATTGGAGGCATTTTAAAATAACAAGACTAAGAGCACTTTTCATATCACTCGCGTGTTGTCGAATAAAATTAAATTGCATTTCTTCAGGCCTAGAGACCTAAACAACGAAAGAAACATGTCCGTACACGTTAATACTCGTAGGTGTTCGTTTGCCGCCTTTTTATGTTTTCTATACTACACTCTAATATGTAATGTTTCTTAATAATTTTAGAGACTAAAATTGTACCATTATATTTGTTAGATAACACGTTATATTATATGGAGTAACCCATTATTTATTGGGTAACCTAATACCTAACCAAACAGATAGGGTTAACCCTTGAACGAATTAGAGACTGGACCTGACATAAAATAGAAATGTATGAAAACCAATGACCAATGAATACAATGGACATGCCCTAGCTATGACAAAAACGTGTCCAATTTATCAGCTGATTATGAATATAAAATGGCTGCTGTACTAGGGTTGGGGTTATACAAATATAGAACATCTATCATACAGTATCGATATACTACTCTGTTAAGAAAGTACCGGGAAAAGATCATTATTACACAAAATGGCTGTGTTCCGCGGATAAATGCGCATGTAAGCGCTTGCAAGCAAAATGGCGATTGCTACATAAATTGCTAAATAGCATTTAGCGGTAAGCGCTGTCATTACTACATGCTATTTTAGTAAGTTAAAAATACAGTATACCACGGGAATACTGTACTTGTTCCAGAATCCAGAGCCTTAACTACTACCATGCCAAATTTCATCAAAATTTGTTCATTTAATAGTTTTTGCGTGAAAGCAAACTTCTATTCGTCCATTCACATCCACATTTAAAATACCAATTTAAAATAACTTCCATGCAAAATATAGCCTACAAAATCTTAGAAACAATATCTGCTATTCGCAGCGAGACAAGGTATAATGTGAAAGTACGTGATGGGTGTTTGTTAGTTGTTATTCTTTCATTCATCGCGCTTTACAATATAACATTTAGGGATGTTAATTATCACTTTTACAACATTCAAGTAAAATTTTAAAGGATTGTTAGGATAGAAATAAAAAGAAAGAAATTTGTTTACTTATATATATTTATAGTATTAAGTTTATTCATTTCTGAATAAAATAAGTTTGTTAAAAAACTGTCTATGCGATACTCTCTCTGTAGTTTTTTGACCGTAATACTTGTATCTTATATCTAGAAATGTTTTAATTATTGATTTTATTAGCAGTAACTTATGGTTACTACTATGTTCCGAATCAGTGTCTGCGTGAAAAAAATTGTTGACATCATACAATTCACACATGAATTTAAAAATTTAAAGATAGTATAGCTCCGGTTTAGATGCTTTTTTTAGTTGCGTCTTAATTATTTTATCAGTTTTTTTAATTATGTTTGTGACACTAGACGAAGTATATTTAAGGCCTCCTCTTGATTTTACATAAATCAGGCTACTGCTATCTGGCTCTCCAATCAATAACGATACACATATATCACATATTAATGTACGCATTAATTTTTTACACACAAATCCAGATATATATTCTAGGACCCTATCAGTATAATCATCAATCTCTTTATTCATAATGCATTCCATGTATGCATCATATAAGTCACTGTGATCTTCTGGTATTTCTAAAAAACTTTTTCTATCACTCAAGTCATTTATAGCTAAAATTGGATTTGTCCTAGAGCAATTCAGTATATTCACTTGTTCTAATGGAATACAATTTCCAACACCACCATCCCTGATCTCTGCTCTAACAAGTAATTTTTTATAAGCCGCACGAAATTGGATTGCATTCGGATTGTTATTGTAGCCCCCTTTTGCTCTAACAGCGGAGAAGAAAAGCTCAACATGATCTTGGCTGATTTTATATAATGGAATGTATTGCAACATTTTTGTGTCTTCAATTAAATATTTATACAATCCCATTGCACTATTCATATTTATTATCAGTCCAATAAACCCAGTTTTTCTGCGAGAATTTATCAAAAGTTCACCTGAAGGAAGTTTTAAGCTTTTAAAGTAACTGGTTGCACCTTTAAAGAGAGCTGATATAAACCCAATATTGGCTGGACACATAGCTTTTTTAAATCCTGGTGGACGGATGGAATGACTGTTGAGTACGTCAAATACATTATTTAAAATATTTATAAAATTTACAGTACCCTCACAGTCTTTAAATTGCTTCAACTTTAATTCGCTGCGGCAATATTCTAGGGCATCTGCCACTGAGCTGCTAAACAATTGTGTTGCCAGCTTTACCTTCATTTTTTGTTTTTGGAAAAAGATATGTGGTTTTTTTATTTTATTTGCCAGGTGTAAGCCCTTATTTTCCTGAAGATTATATAAAGCTTCTAAATAATAATAATCAATTTTTCGGCCGAATGAATCAAAAACTACCCTAAGTTCCCCAAAAGCATTTCTAATTAATTTTATAGTATGGCATGGGTCGATAAAAGCATGAATCAGAGTATTGCCTCTCTCAAAACAAGTCACATTTTGGCTCCTTAAAATATCGCAGCCAAGATGTTTGTACATGCTAAAGTTAGCGGCACGTCCATCACACGTTATAGAAACAATTTTGACTCCCACATCATCGCACACTTTTAGGGCCGTGTTTACAATAATCCCTTTTTGTTCACCGTTAAGTGATGTTATTAAAAAATACCCAATAGGTATCTTCCACCTACCGTTTATGTAAGTTATTAACACTACCAGGGCCGACGGTTCCGACGAACTCTTTCAGTAAGGCATTTAATTTTTTGTCTTCGCTTTAGGCATTTTTCTGTCAAAGTTTTAATTTTTTCAATATATATGGGCTGAAATGAAAAAGAAACTATTTCAAGTACAAAAAACATACACATCTTCAGCATTTTCATATGAATATTAAAATATACATACCGCTAACTGCAATGGAAGATCTACAGTCGATGTTGAAGGATGGTTGAATGTGTTTTTGCTTGTTTCACACAATACAGACGATACTTTATGTTGTTCTTCATCAGTTCTCTGAAATCATGATTTGGTAATAAATAGCAATATGCAAAAAAGAAGGTAGACAAAAGCTAATATATAAATAATAAATATAAACACATATTTAGTCTAATGGTTACGATTAGTTAGGTAAACAAATACATTTTGAGTTGGTTAATAAATTATTTTAATTCACACCTACCAAAAACCTTGTTGGAACAGAGCCATCACGTAATCTTATCACATCAAGTGTTTTATTGAAGCAGCTATCTTCAAAGTGGAGCGAACAAATATATCACACTTTTTGACGGGGATTAATGTTTTCTTTGCCTATAGCATCCAGCCATAATTTTCGTAATCTATCACTTTTGGGAAACCTGTATAAAACAAGTATTACTTAATACTTATTATCCTTTGTCAAATATTTCGGTTAGAACAATAATAGAAGCTGTTTTAAAATAAGATACAACACACTGAGAATGCCTTTTGTCTTCAAAGATTACATAACCTGTCGCTAATAAAATGATTTTATATAATTGTATCAACATCGATAACTATTACAAACGGTACAACACTATTCAATTACGTAAATAAAACTAATGTTTAAAATTCAATAAAAAAGGACTTTTATAATGAAATATACCTATATATGAATATGACAAATGAAAATATCTTATCACGTTGCAACTATTTCATGAAAATGTTAATAATATTGCTTAAAACCAGCTACTAACCTGTGCATTGATAATTGAGGTTGATTTTTGCGTTTTATTGCACCACATCTTTTAATACAACATTTAGGCATGTTGATAATTATTTTTACAATTCACAAGTAAAATTTGAAAACACTAGTCCATAAAATCTTCCAGAAGTTCTTAAATAATTATAACATAAACAAACTTTTGACAGCAAACCTACCACAAGAGTGAACAGAAAATGGCGAACCGTTCCACATTTCGTTCATTGTGACAGTTGTATAACCAAATGTTTCTAAAATGAGCAGAAACAAAAATATTGCTATCTCGTTTATCACTGGAAATTATTGTATTAGATAGAATGAGACCAAACGATATTTCACCCTCTGTGTCATATTTCCATCATATTTCTAGTATGTATAGAATGTAAGGGCCTGTACATCTCTATGATGAAAACTAGTTCAACCAAGTGACGCATAACGCACACTAAGATTTTATTACACTATTATAAACACTGATACACAATACAATATTTCTAGTGCTTGAACGTAATCGATAAAATACAGATATCGATGAACCAATGAATGACATTTTAGACATTGGTTAGCATAGTCATCATATTTTACATCTTTTAATTTATCCTTCTTCTTTTAAATTAAAATAAATGAATTAAAGAGGCAATAATAATGTGTCAAATAATAATTATTTTTTAATTTGATTTATATAAATACGATGGCATTGATGGAAACATTCTGTTGGTCTATAATAATGATAATGAACAAATGAATATCGGGTATATAATATTCCATTAATATATAATAAATATTATTTTGTAAAGATTAAAAAAAAAATATTAAGCTAATTAAATAAAGTGATTTTGTTGATTCTGTTATTGAACTATTTTAATTGGCAATTGATTGTCTCGGGTAGTTATAATATAAACTTTTTATCAAAAAAATAAAAATTAAATAAATGATTAGGTATGTTTTTAATAGGTAGGCTTTAATTACTTAGCCAAAGCACACCGACTTCGAAAATATTTGATTAGGTATGTATAGTAAATGAAAACTACCAATCAGTTATTTTTTACTTTTTAGTGCTTTTGTTTGAAGTCGGTTTTTATTTTTTTGTTAAAAAGTTTTTATTTTTCCCTTTTTAGTGTAGACAGTAGTAGCAAAGTAAGAATTCTAACGTATTAGGCTTGTCAAATCAAACAAAACAAGCCCAAACTCAAAGTATCTACTATTAGCCGTTGAAGAGTTCCACTTATCCACCTTCTGGCCTTACCATCAGATCAGGTCAATAATACCGAACCACTGTACTATCAACGGAAATAGAAACACTTGCAAAGTTTCAAGTCAATATAACAATTAGAAGTAGGTTAAATTCATCATTAGCTATTTTTCCACCCTTAGTGGTGGTATTTTTTTTGAAATTTAAATAGGACCAATCTGGAAGTATACACTTTCAAACAACACAAAAATTGTACAAATCGGTTTATAAATGACGGAGTTCTGAGGTAACAATCATAAAAAAAAGATACAGTCAAAAACAAAATGTGACACTGTCCTAATATTGCTCAGTTCTTAATAAACATTTGTGAAATTAGGAAAAAGAAAAAGTGATTGCAAATTAAAATGAGTGTTGGATCGTGAAAGTAAAATAATTAGTGCAAGTGGTAAAGTGTTTTATTACAAATCGCCAACCCAGAAGTTTAGTGCTAAAACATTATTGTTTAATTTTGTATTATTTATGTATAGAAATAAAATTATCTTTATTATTATTACAATGGAATAATATTTCAAAGGTATATAAATGTGAAATAAAATAAAATATATATTTTTATTTGATTTAGAAAATATTTTTATAAATTTATTGTCATCAGATTGTAGGATACTGTGGTAAAAGTATTTTATGTTATTGTACTGTACAAATAACACAATTCGTTTAGTTATTTCGTCAAATATCGATATATTTTTCGACATTGTCAAGCACTAGTCGATGTCAAATTGACTCACTTTACAGTTTTGTCATTTGTTCTGAATGGTATAATCCAGCCATTTTATGATGGTTGTCAGATGTCAACAATACATAGAAATATCGACTATATTTAACATAGTTGGATAATGTGACATTTTATTTTACATTTAATTAAATTGTGTGATAAATAACAATAAATGTAATAAAATAATGTATTTACAAGTGAAAAGAAATACTACTGCTTCCGCCGTTATAGTTTTTACATCATTTAACAGAACATTTAGTCATTTTTGGGAGATGTTTTGTTGACAAATAAGTGCTTGAGACTGACGCAAAAAACAAACGACCAAGCCTAAAATCTCCTGGTTACTAAGAAGACCGATAAAGGTACGTCCGCTTATATGTCTGGTCCAGTGGTTAATTCGTTCATGGGTTAACCCTATTAAACTTATGATTTAATTAAGCCTGTTGACTGGGTAACCCTATGAAAAGGGTTTCTTGTTAAAACCCTTTAAAAAAACCCGGGTTAAAACCCTTTAAAGGGTAACCAAATGGGTCCCTGTGTGGAAGCTATCATTACTAGATAAGTCATCTGAAGACGACATAGACAAAAAAAGGTCACTATCACTTACATTGGACGACATTTCAGTTTATAATAAAATATAATATAATAATAAAATACAATACGTTAATAAAATATAACTTAAATAAAAATAAAAAAAATAATAATATATGTATAATTATTTCCTTACCCGCCAGCTATTCTGAATTAAAGATATATATTAATAATTACATATCAAAAAATGTGCTAAATTTTATAAAAAATAATATAAACATAATGAAAAAACAACTTTAAAATTGAAAATTAAAAGAACAAATTTGATCTTATTATTTCCGAACGTACTCAGTACAGTGACGTATTATTTGTCTGTGCTCTGTGCTGTCAAAGTATAACGTTAAACGTACGTTTGTACTTTGTTGTTATTTATTAAATTACCTACCTTATGGAAATTAATGTACAGGCTATCATAAAAAAACAATTAATTAAAATAATACAATATAAACAAAGAATAAGAGCCATAAACAAAGGGATTGAATGAGAAAAACAAACCAAGTACATGTGGGACGAGTAAAAATTAAAAACAATGAATAGTTATAAACATGGATTACAAAACAATTACAGTAATTATTTCTTTAACACTCTTTTGGTTCTGGGATTGGTAATTTTTGAAGATTTTGAGGCCTCCGCAGCAGCGGGCATGAGGACAGGACCAGAAGCACTATTAGCTGAGCTAGGAATTGCGTTCAGTTCAGATGCACTAGTTATCCGGTGCTTTGAGCCATCCGCTCTTAACACTACTATAACACCGTCTCTAGTCCAACACTTGGTTACACCGAAACGTTGTCGTGCCGCTAAGAATGCTTTATGACGAGGCTTAGTCAGAAACTCAGACATAGTTACCCCGGTGCCTTTTATTTTGGTTTTGGCCGACCAAACTTGATTTCTTAAGGCCAGGTCACTAAATTTAATAAGCAAGGCACGGGGCTTATCCTTATCATTATGTCCAAGCCTATGACATCGACTAAAAGAAGCTGGAACCACTTGTGGAATTTTAAGCTGAACACCGAGAAGTTGTGCAGCACTAGCTGCCATATCCTCCTTATCTGTCTCTGGAACTCCGTGCAACAGTAGAATCTTTTTCCTTGACCGCATCTCAAGCTCATCATACTGTCTTGAAAGAAACTCTACTTGCAGTTGAAGATTTTCTAATGCCGTTAAGACAAAGGCCCGGAATGAGTTAAATTGGATGTTGATGGCAGAAGAAGGGCTAGTGGTAGGAATAGTACCTTTTAATTCCTTTTGAAACTCCGAAATCCTTGTGTTAAAGTGGGCAGTGAGCTCGTCTAGAGTGTTCTTTATAGACTCCATATTAATTTTAATCTGTCACGTTAAAGTTAAGTGTAATTAGTGGAAATAAGAAAGAATGTAGTAGCTGGCAGGTACACAATGTTCACAGGTACATAATATAGTTTTATATATTTTTAAAAAGTAATCAAAATGTAGAGCACAAATTCACAACTACTTTAATCCACTTCTACCCTCGGACCCTTAGTCAAACCAATATCTGTAATTATGGAGGGGACATAGCTAGAGAATTGAAAGGAGTGCAGAAGATAGGGTTAAAAAGGAAACAAGAGAGGGGATGTGGTAGGTTAGTAAATTTAATGAAACTGTCTAGTAAAAAGGAAAATGGCTTATTCGCAGGGCTAAACTCAGCCAACTGTCGAAGCCTTGGCCACAAGGGATGGGAAGATAACTGTAATGCCTTACCAACAAAGCGATCGGATAGATACTGGTAACGAATAGGTAAAGGAGGGTCAACACATTCATCCTGCAGGGCATTGGTAGGAGAAGATCTCATTGCTCCTAATATTAGTCTTAGGCATTTATATTGAACTTTATTCAACTTCTCAGAAGCTGCTTTGTTAAAGGGGTCCAAAACAAACCGGCCGTAGTCTATATGACTACGTATAATAGAATTGTACAGTAGTTTAAGAGTATATTCTTGTTTTATTGGACTGACTATTTAAATATTATTAACTAATTATTCTAATTATATTATGTCTAATTATGTAATTTTTTATATTTAAATTGTCATTTATTAATTTTATAATTTAATTTCAACTTTATTTATTAACTTATTATTATTATTTAATTTTAAATTTCCATTTTGTAATTAAATGTTATTGACGTGATTTAAAAAAAAAGAGCATGCTGTGATAACCTATTACTGATATACTCCGCATGGGCAATTTCGTTCAGTCGTTTATTGAGTATTACGCCTAAAAAATTTGTATGGTCAGCCAGATTAATACTTTGATCCTCATAACGAAGATCAAAATTTGGAATAGATCTTTTTTTTGTAAACACCACAGCCTGACATTTAGCCACCGATAATGACAGGCCATGCTTAGAGAGCCACTGTCCTAAATAATGCAAAGCAGAGTTCAAACGAAAACTAATGTCGTCCACAGATTTTGAGCTACAGTAGAGAACGATATCATCAGCATATTGAAGGATGTTTTAAAAACTATTAACAGACAATTCGAGGTCATGATTATAAATGCTATAAAGCATAGGACTGAGGACGGAACCTTGAGGCAATCCTTTCCAGACAAGTCTGGGAGGTAGCGTAAGTAGCCGGTGTTTCACAGATATGGTTCTACTGGTCAGCAAATTACATATGAAATGCACCAACCTCGGCGGTATACTCAGTTGTTGCATTTTCTGCCTGAGCAACTGAAGAAGAACATTGTCATATGCAGAAGCTATATCCAGAAAGACACTAACTAAGTACTTTCCTTTTGCATAGGCGAGTCGAATGTCTGTCGTTAAGATGCTGAGACTATCTATAGAACTTAGACCCTTTCTAAAACCAAACTGAGAGGATGCTAAGATATTTCTGCTTTCCACTATCCATTCAAGTCGGTTTTTTAAAATCCTTTCAGTTATTTTCGCTAATGTTGATGATAATGCAATGGGTCTGTAGAAGTTCGGATTAGAAGGATTTTTACCGGGTTTTAGAATTGGGATGATTATCTGGGATTTCCAAGCTTCCGGCATAATGCCAGATTTAAATATTACATTAATAAAAATGAGAAAATACCTTTTAGCTTTATCATTCAATTTACCAACGAAAGAGTATGGTATACCGTCCTCACTTGGACTGGTGTCCTTCAAAACCGTTAAGGAGTTTTCAAGTTCTACCAAACTGAAAGTAGCATCCATATCATCTGATGAGCAGGGCGGAGCTGAACTAGGAAATAAGTTGTGCGAGGGGACAAATGGAGGTGATAATTTGTCGACAAAATCATTAAGCCATTCTGATGGATTGTTGGAGCCTTGATGAGGAACAACATCAAGAGCCCGGCGAAACCTTTAAACCTGTCTCTAAACTAGAAATTCTGATATAAATTTTTCGAAGCGTAATTTCGTCCCGGGGACGATATTGAGATCACAATAACCAGTACGTAAACTTAAGTATTATCTTTAAAAGTAATTATTAATAATCATTATTATAATATGTAATCAGACTTTTGTTAATCATTGGTATAGTTTAAGTAATTTTAATTCTCAAAACAGATTGCACAAATAAAATTTACTCCTGGATTATCAACACAATCCTCATGCATCCATTGGAAACATTTTGTGCATCTTATCCATTTCTCTCCATGTATATCTTGAGAAAACCTTTTCTGACATACTGGGCATTCAGCGTCATCGTTGTCACTATCTTCTTCGTCAGTAGAAACTAAAATTGGAGGGTCCTCATCAGACGTGTCCTCGTCAGAAGATTGATTCTTACGTCGCTTATTTGTTTTCTTTCTTCCTGTCGTCATTTTACTTAAATTTCTAACCCTTTTTTTGGCTGCTTTTCTTTCATCTTTTTGTTGTTTTTTCTTTTCTGCATCTATTATTTCCTGTTTATGCGGTGAAGCCGTAACGACCATGGCTTTGCCTCGTCTAGTTGTAGTAGAAGGAGGCTCAACAACTGGAACAGGTTGTATGTCAGCTGGAACTATATACGGGGAGGAAGGAGTGCTTAACCTAGGTGATGCCGTTAGTGTTCTTGGTCTAGACGTTGTGGGTTCCAAAGAAACGGAGGAGTCATTCACAATAGATGTTGCGCTGTTTGAATTTGTTGAAAGAGGAGTATTTGGTGAGTCTACGAAAATATTTTCATTGAGTGGAAATATCCCTGTCTTTCGGAAGCCATTTACAGCTGTATCAATTTTGCATAAGCTTTTCCAAATATTTCTCCAAGTTGGTATTGAGTAACAATGCGCCCTGGATGATTTGTTAACCAATTTTCTACTTCTTGGGCATAAAATGTTTTTAAGGGAAACATGAATGAAACATCCAAAGACTGCATATGATTAGTTGAATGAGGAGGCAGGCAGACTATGGATATGCCATTGTCACGTCCAATGTCAATCACGTCTAAATTTCTTGTGTGGCTGTAGTGACCATCCAATATCAGCAAAACAGGGTCTTCTTTTGATGGTTTTACTATGGACACAAAATGTCTTAGCCATTTTGTGAATAACTCAGGCTGGATCCATCCCGAAGGATGACATCCACCTATGGTGCCTGGAGGTGCTCCGTCAAGTAGTTCAGCCTTCATGTTTTTTCTAGGAAACACCATTAATGGAGGAATGAATTGACCAGAAGCTGACATACAAGTCACAATTGTTATCAAAGCTCCCCTTTCAGCAGAAGATAATTTGTGAACTGCTTTCTTACCTTTTGCCGTTAAGATTTTTCTTACTTTATGCTGAACTATGCTGATCCCTGTTTCGTCGACATTAAATATTTTATTGGGGTTGAAATTAATCTTTTCTAATTCAGGTTTCAGTATATCAAAAAAAGATTTAACATTTTCAGCAGTAAAACCTTGCACGCGAGCACGTGATAACGATTGTGGTTGACGAAACGACAAATTGGGATGGCGAGCCATAAATAACTTCATCCATTTTTTACCTGCTTTCTTTTTAGTGTGTGAAAATGGATGTGGAATGTTATTTCTAATAGCCAATTGAAAAGCCATACGTTTTAAGTCCGAAGCGGCGACACCATAGTAATTCTTTTCCATTTGTAGGCAATAGTTTACCAACTCCTCTTCTAATTCAACTGGCAAAATCGGTTTTCTTCCCATTTTTCCAGAAACTATATCATCAACAGATTTATCAGACTTTTTGACATAATCTTTTAAAGTAGCTCTTGGCACATTAAATAACTTAACTGCCTTTTTATACCCCATTTCTTTAGTTCGGACCGCTTTTACGGCTTTTTTCATTGCTTGAGGATCCCATAACTTTCTCTTCGGCATCTAAAAACAAGATTTAAAAACATAAAAAATAAGTAAGCTTAACGACAAATGAAGTGACCTAAATATAGTCCCGGGGGCGATATTAGGCTCGTGTGAGGGGACGATATTACGAATTTCTTAAGTTTGTAGATGTCATCCATTAAACCACAATGACATGGCATAACCTAAATAAAATTGCAATCGGGGTAAATCTAGAAAATATCAACATATTTTGTCATATATTTCATTACAATATCTCAAATACATTCATATTTAAACAGTAGTTATAATATTTTATTTAAAAACTCACCTTGGACAATTTTTTCTTTTTTTTAATATTTTGCGCCTGGAGCTACGTTTCACCGTCAAACTTTTACAATGGCGGACTGACATAACTAACTTTAGATTTTACCTATTAAAACTAGATGGCGTTGTTTAGAAAAAAGAGATACCGATGGGGACGAAATTAGGTTCGGGGACGGAATTTGGCGACTATACCTTATATATATATATATTATATATATATATATTAAATGTTTAAATATTTTTCTATCGGTCATTGTAACTTATACTTACAATATAAAATATACATAAGTTTTAAACCAGGAAAAGCTCAGCATCTATCAGATATATATTCATCAAAAAGTTTATTTACTTTTGTAAAGTGTAAAGATCATGTACTATTTTTACACGCAATAACTGGCTGTGATACGACATCTGCATTTTACAGGAGGGGTAAAACAGCAGTTTTCAAAATATTTGAAAAACAAGATTTAATTCAATGTGCTGAAGTTTTTAAAAAGAGTAATTCAACTCAACAAGAAGTTATTACCAATGGCATCCGCTTTCTTCTTTCTATGTACGGAGCTCCTAAAAAAACTACCTGTTTAGATAAGCATCGATATGCACGTTTCGTTAAAAATACTAAAAATAAAAAATAAGTTTAATTAGCTTGTCTTCCTCCAACGTCAGTTGCTGCTCACCGACATCTTCTTTGAGTATATTACCAAGTTCAAGTGTGGCTTGGTTATCAGTTAGACATACACTAGCTACAGACTGGGGTTGGAAGTTGGTCAACAATATATTAGAGCCAGTTCAAACTTTACTTCCACCTGCGCCGGAAAAACTGCTGAACACTATTTTTTGCAACTGCAAAAAGGGATGCAGTGCTAAATGTGGTTGCAAAAAAGTCGGACTGTCTTGTTCTTTGGCATGCACAAATTGTCAAGGCCGGTCGTGCTCTAATATTGAATCACAAACAATAGAGGATTCGTTTGACTCCGACGAAGTATCATGCGATACATCGCTATTGACGCAATTTACTTGCATCCAAAATGAAGATGAAGAAGAAGCAGGAGAAGAAGATCAAGAAGAAGAACAAGAATTTAAAACTTACGAATAAGACGAATAAACTTCAACACTTTTTTTTAATTTACATCGCTTTTATCTTTCCCAATCTTTGAAAATTTCCGTTATTTTGCAATAGTTTTACATTAAATAGGATCACAACTGACCCGTGGAGTAGGCCTACTGGGGAAACCACGTTAAAAAAAACGCGCTAAGTTCACTACCTCATAGGTGGCGTGGACACGTGTGCATATTATGACGATAACAACTTTTATAACTTTTTGAATCGTTATATCTCAGAAACTGTGGCTCGTAAGAAAAAAAGTATTGATACATTTTCTATAGATAATTTTATGATCTACAATTTTTGTCTGAGGTACTTTTATGATAAAACTTACCGTTTTGCCGAAAATCGCGAAAAACTCATTTTTTTGACCTTTGACCTTGAATAAAAAAAAATTCCTTACAGGGGAATGATGGGGAACTTCTAGACATTGTTTATAATTATGTTTTGAATAATTTCACAGAAATTCAGCTTGTTGGGACTTTATGTAACTTCGAATGTCTAAATTGACCGGACTATTTGTAGTAAAATATTTTCTAACTTAGCATCAAGAATTTTTTGTTTTGTGGAATAATATTTTGCTATGGCTAAATTTTTAACTGTACGTCCCTTGTCTGGTTTTGTAGTCTTTTGTTTACCTGCAAAACATGATAAAATATTAAAATGTGAAATAAATAAAATATTTAACAAACTTCACAAATAGATAGTTACCACTAGCTCTAGGAGTGTTAAATATAAACCTCTAAGGTTTATCTGGAGTATGAGCTAGTGTGCTTCCACCACCTTGTTCCACCACCAAAATTGGTTCCATTACCACATCAGCATTATCTATAGAAAATGTTTTACTGTCTATTGACAAAGCTGGCACCTCTACCTGACCACCCTCTATTCCCACCTCATCATGCACATGCAAAGCCTTTGTGTCATTATCTTTGATGAACTCAGCTGGTTCTGCGTCACCCCCAAACTCAACTGTGAACCCATTTACTGTACTTCCTAGTAAAGAAGATACATGGTCGAGAATATCATCTGGGGGTATGTACTCAGGTGCTCCACCTCCAGTCTAAAAAAGACAAAATTTCTACAATGTATACTATGTGCTGTAGTTATTCAAATACTAAAGTTAACATTTCTCAACTACAACTAACCTTGATCTTATTCATTCTGATTTTAGTACTTCGTTTGCGAGAACTTTTTTCATGTTTTCCCACTTTAAACGCAATTGTTGCGGGGTACGCCGAGTTGAAGCTACTGTGGCGTTAAATTTTTCACTGATTCTAATCTACTCATCATTTTTCAGTTTATTGTTGGTAGCGTTGGTTGTTTTATTATTTATTATTTTGCTGTTCTCAATAAGGGCGAGCAACGCTTTTGTCTCGTCCTTTGATAAAGGTTTACCTTTTGGCTAAAACAAGAAAAAGTGCAAAATACAATTATTAGAGTAAAAATTAAAAAACCCGCGAAATGTGTAGCGTTATGTGAATTGGCGCGTAAAGTAATACGCGCGTATTACTTAACACACACACACACACTTAATACACGATTTTATGTTAAGAAATATTTCCTTACCGCTTCAAAATTCATGTTGAAATTATTACAATATTATAATAACAATCTTTGAAATCACTTTACTGTTTGCAAGTTCCACTGATACTCGTATGCACTCGAAGTTCAAACAATGAAAAACAAACATCCGAAAGTCGTTAAACTTTTTGTCAGTTAGCGTTACGTTTCACTTATCAATTTAAGTGAAACGTAACGCTAACTGACAAAAAGTTTAATTGTTAAACGTAAGCTCAATTCCAACGGTTAATTATTTTAACAGATTTTAACTTAAACTAGTTGTTCAAATAATAAAAAAAAACTATTTGTTATGTTTTAAACATTGACATATATGTTTTAATGTTATTTGTAATGTTTTAATAATTTTATTTCGTTTATATTGATGATCGAATATGAGTGTAAACTCAGTAAAATGGAACGACAAAGAGGGAAAAGATTGCATTCTATCCGTCGTCAAAAATGGATTGCCTTCGTAGGGTTTGTTATTGGGATTCAGATAGGAGATCGATCGACTGTTACTGTCTGATCTAAGATTGATTTCAATCTGAGATTGTGGATTCATTATTGGGTTCGGGCGTAATTACACATTAGCACCACACTTTATTTCACAGTTGGTTGCAGACATAGGCGATAATAAGTTTAGTATACTTATTGATGAATCCAGACATCTCAGTCACAAAAATTCTTGGCACATCAATCCGATATTATGGCAGTTCACACAAAAGTATTATCACGACATTTTTAGGATTGGTTGAGATAGAAAACGGAACAACTGATGCTATAGTCAAAGGCTTGAACACCCTTTTTGCAGAGCTTATATGAAAAACTTAATAGGGATAGGAACTGACAACGCAAGTACTATGATGACTGGTATCAACAACGAGATAGAACGAGTATTTCGCCAAATGAATATAGTAAAAACAAAATTAAGAAAGCGAATGCCACACACACGCTGAACTCGATTCTGCACATCAGATATGGCCTTAAAAGATCAGGAAAATGTTGTTATTCATATAACGTTCCTGATGAGGTATTAAAACAGATAATAGGGGTAGTCGCTTGTGATGCCAATGAATATTGATTTGGAAAATCGCCCATCAACTTCACAATCACAAGCACAAAACGAAGACAATATCGATGATGATTTACAAATATTATTTGATTAAATTTACTTAAATATAGCACTGCATTTTAAAGTACACTACCTACTTTTTTTCGTCAGGTAGACACAAATGTGTACAGACGTGTTTTTATAAGCTCTATAATATTTATTTTCCATAATTTTTTAAAATTTATATGTGTTAAGTTTTGATACCTGTGTAAGTTAACTGTAACTGCACTCTCCCACACACTCTCACTACAATGGAAACACCCGTTGAACAGCTCTTGAAAAGCATGGATGAGCTCTCTTCTATGTTCTCTAACAGAATGGGCGAATTTGAGAAAAATGTTACTCAACCGGGAGCCACAGTTCACGTGATGTTTTCGTAAACTAAACACTTCAAACGCTTGAAACGCCGTCTTTTATAAGTACGTGCTCCGTATTATATAAAAAGTTATTAGCCTAAGCCACTCGAGTTACATTGTTTTCGGTATCGAAGGGTATTCATGTTTTTTTTTATGGCGCGCGCGCGGGTAATAAAAAAAAGGTTATTGTTTTGCAAAACTTGTGTGGTGAAAAAAATATATGGGGAGGTGTGTTCTTTTTTGTTATAAATGTGAGATAATGTAGTTAGTTATAAAATGAGAATAATAAAATTTGAAATAATGGTTCTATTTTCAAATTATAAAGATTTTAAGGTAGATTTTTGGTAAGATCGGTGTACCCTGACTTCAGGGTCGATTTACTAATATATTGCAAAAAACTAGAATAAACCAATCTTTGAATGTGTTAGGTTATTTCATAACGATTCCAACGACACAAGTTACTTATATAGCTCCCATACAAAACTTTAGAGATGTCGTCATTTTTGGACCCCGGGGGGTGGTTTTTTTTACTATTTGTTTTTTTTTAAGTACCCACACAGATCCGGCCATCTTGTTTATTTCTCCCCTCCACAGATAATAGGTTATACTTTAACTGATAATTCCTAATACAAGAGAGTCACCGTAGCCACAGAGTGTCACCGTAATTTGTATTAACGGACAGCCAGTCAAGGCAGTGGACATCTTTAAGTACTTTGGCCGCATTGTAACTTCCCGCCTTAAGGATGACGCAGATGTCGAGCGACAACGTAGGGCTCTATGTGTGGTGGGTAATATGATTGAGATAAAGTTTAACCGTTCAGCGCTTGACGTGAGAATGACTCTGTACAAATCTTTCTGCCAGTCGTTTTACACGTGTCAGCTTTAGACTGACTATACCAAAAAGTCGAAGAAGTCGAATGATAGAGTCACCTAATATAACATTTTTCGATTCCTCATGGGCCTGAAGTAATACTGTAGCGCTTCAGAAATGTACGCGGACCCCAGGGTCGAATCTTTTAATGCCATTCAACGTAAAAGAATTGCATATAAATATGAAGTTTACAAAATGACAATATTTTTCTTGGTCTGTGTGTACCTGGGTGTAAGATAGATGTTTATTTATATTTTTTTATATTGCCATGAAATTTACCCTTTCGATAAATAAAAATATTCCGCAATATATTGTCTGTTTCCAATGTTGAATATACTAGATCTTACAGGAGTAGGGCGGAAACTTAGTAACTTTGTCCCATACAATTTTTCATACGTACTCGTAATTATGTGAAATGCAACAGGCTTTAATTATTTGGTCACAAGTTGTTAGTTTTACATCTAAAGCTCGATGTAAAATTCTCCATTTATTAGTAAGTATGCCAAATGTGCATTCTACAAATCATCTTGCTAGTGTGAGACTGTAATTAAAAACTCCTTGAGTTACAGATAGGTTTCTTTAGGGGTATGGTCGCATTATGTGTTCCTAGAGAGCGAACTGTTATATATTGTTTAAGTATAGGAAAGTGTCTACTCTATCAATATTCTCTTCACTTCCCTGTAACTCACACAGTTCAGGGAAGTGTTACTGTCAGTTTAAATAGCCATAGAATTACATAGATTAATTCAGTCTTAGTTGAGCTGCGGTTATTATAATAGGTTTTTGTAATACAGTTTAAATACAGTGATGTAATTTATATTATTGTATAACAGTGTCATTTAGTGTTAAATAAAAATATCTTTTTAAAAAAAGACTTATATTACTCCTCGTAATATAGCGAATAGTAGTTATTTTCGGAAGCCAAATACCTGAAATAACCATAAAAAAATTACACCAAGAATTATTTCTTCACTTTTTCCAAGAATTATTTCATCACTTTCACTAATAATGTAAAATGCAAGCAAATAAATCATTCTCACACAACAATTAAATCACTTTAAAATAAAATTGTTTATTTTCTTTTACAGGAGTTGATGTACAAGAAAAAAAAAACAAAATGGAAAAATCTTAAAGATACATACGTCAAGGAGGTAGCAGCTCATAAAAAGGTAGTTTTGGGTCAAGCCGCAAAGAAAAAAAAGTACCATACATACACATGGGAGCACTTTCATTTTTAGCCACTCAAAAATCAATGAGAGATAGGACAAATAATATTAGAGACGTAGAAAGCACTAACAGTAATGCCGAAGACCTTACAAATCAATCCGACAAAAACTCTGCCACAGGAGCTTCATGAAATAGAAGACTTAAAGCAAGCATGCGTAAAAAGATTAAAAATCAAAATAATAGCGATGATGAGTTATCGAAATTATTGTAGGATGAAACTTATGACGAGGATGTTCCATTTTGTGAAATGATCATACCAATGCTAAAAAACAGACCAGAAGCATTACGTTAAAATTGAATTCTGAATGTACTTAACAGAACAACCAAATATTCACGATAAAATTTTATGTCAACTAGAGTCAGATCCGCTCTATCTCAGTATCAGCCATCAACATCATATTCGTCGTATTTATCTTACGACCCAAGTACGCCATCTCATAATCCAACTGTGATTCCTCAATCTCCGCTGGTCCGTATGCTCAAACCCAACACTCGCTCTCGTCTCTCAGTTCAAATTTTGCAAATTCATCATTTAATGATTCTTCATACGTAGTAAACAGGAGTAGGTCGAAGTGAAAAATTATATTTTATTTAAATAAAAATAATAATATAATATAATAAATTATGCTCTATATGATTTAACTAAAACATGTGCTAATATATTAATACGTACTGCGATATTACTCTGTTACAATTACGTCATGAATACATTGAGCTGGAGTACTATAACCAACTGCTTCTTACTCAGCATTTCATAAAGCGCACGCGCGGCTCGGGCTTATTAATGGAGTGGATATTGCAAACAGTCTGTTCGGAGTTTTAGATGAGCGATAGTTTTTTTGGTTTGTCCTCTTTTTATACTTAATATCTTATTTTATATTATTGATTTTTTTATAGATATCGATACTACAATGAGGAGTAGAAATCTCAAAGAAGACAGTATTCTGGTCGTTTTTTTACCAAGCGATGACGAGCTTTTCTTTGAGGACACCGATAGTGAAGTATCAGACCACGAAAGTGAAGATGATGTGCAGA